GAGGAACAATCCTCTTGTGAGGTAGAAGGTGATTTAAGTTTTTAATCTAAGTGTTTTAATTATTTTTATAGCTTATAATAAATTATTTACATGTCTTATACTTAATTTTTAAATTAATAGGTTGTAGTACTTGCATAAAATTAAGCTAAGATATGATATTCTTGAAGGCCATGACTTGATCTATAACTTGTATTAGTATAAAGTCATTAGAGTTGTTTTAGAATCTAGAGATTTAATTATTTAAAATTAATTAATTTCTATTTAATTGTTCCACTTACTTAATTAAGTTTTTGAGTTGATATATGTGATTACCATGATAGTACCATTGGCATATAATTATTTGGAATCATTTGAAATTGATTTAAATTCTAGAGAAATTAATTAGTTAGTTTAATTAATTTCTATTCAAGTGTTACATTCATGTAAATTGACATTTGACTTGATATATATAATAAATATGGTATGTTCTTTAACATATATTAAATTGAGAATATTTGAATAAGTTTAGAAAACTTTATTTAATTATTTTCTTGTATGAAATTTAATTCACTTAGTTGTACCTAGTGTAAAATTAACTTGTAACTTGATTTTAAATAATGTCTTGACATGTTCTTTAACATATATTAAATAGAGAATATTTGAATGAGTTTTGAGAAATTTATTTAATTATTTTCTTGGTACTTAATTTACCTTGTTGTAACAAAGGTAGAATTGGCTTATAACTTGAAATTAAATTAGGCCTTATTATGACCTTTGACATATATTATATTTAGAATTTTTGGAGTTGCTTTGAAATCTTGAGAATTTAATTATTTAATTTAATTAAGTTCCATTTGTATGCTTTCATTGAGGTAATTAAGTATTGATGTTATATTCTTGCTTAATTTATAATTTGTAACTTGATGTATGACTACAAGATGGTATTCCATGACTAGAAGTTATGATTTAACTTGTTATATACATATTATACTTATATGACATTCAGTATGCCATTGTAGCTTGAAGGCCTAGAGCATATCTTGTGTGTATTCCATGACTTAGTTGTGCATGGTAATTGACAATGTGCATTGTGTATATGTGATATACTTGTTGCACAACTTGATGATTTTTGGAAAGCTTGTATGGACATTGTAATATGTTAAGGCTAGAGTATGTCTCTAGTACGGGGGATGAGAGTTCCCTTTAGAACATATAGTGCGCACTAGGTAGTTCCTTGCGGGCTAGTAACCCGAGATCACTTGTTTGGTCATTGAGACCGTATGTCCTTTGTCTTTCCGCCATTGGTTAATTTCGCATTCAATTCCTAGTTGTAATTGTGGATTACTTTTAACTTGTGCTTGGACGCATGGTACTTCAAATCTTATTTAGGATACTTGTACGCCTTGTATATCAAAAATGTTTTGTATACTTGGATTTGTATACTTGTATGCCATATGTGTCAACATTGCTTAGTATACTTAGAAATGTATACTTGAATATATATGTTGTATTCTATTTCAATATTGCTTAGCGTACTTGGTATGTGCACTTGTATATTGATGATTTACTTTCTAGATAACCTAGTATACTTATGTCTTGTATACTTGTCTTAAGTGCATTTCAATATTAATTGTATACTTGTGTACGTATAGTGTACCGCATGCTTTTATGTTGCCTAAATTGCATGAATGATGTAGGTTATGCTAGAAATGTTTTAAAGTAGCTTAGGATACTCCCTGAGTCTCACCTTGGACATAGACGCTAGGCGGCCTAGACCTTATATATTGATCTATATCAATTTAATGAACAGTAAATGTTAGGTTTATGCATGCTCATCTCCTACAAGTAACTTATTTACTCACCCAAAAGTTATCGGGTTATTTTCAGGTATGGATACCTTGATTCGGGATACACAATATCCCTAGGTCATTTCATTGGATTGAAGTTTTTTTAAATGTATTCTTGTTCATGATTCATACAAAATGTTAGCATGAAATGCAATTTGTAGCTTATATGTCAAAACTTGTATATTTGATTTTAAACATGTAATGTGTGCATAAGCACACCTTTTGGAATGTATTTGACATGTATGAGAAGAGGCTAGAGGCCAATGACAATTATTTTGTATTCTATGTAACTTTTGACTTCATGAAATATTACAAAAAAGAAAAAGAAAAATGACAAGTCATTACTTCACCATGTTTGCATCGAGTGTGGGAATTCTATTTTTATTCTTTCATAGGGTCTCATTAATCATTTATGAAATGTGGCCAAGGGCCAAATGGTAATTTGAAATCATTTGTTAATTTTGGTTTTCAAAATTCCCTTTTCCATGTTCATTTTAACCATTTTTGGCCACTGGGGGGGTTATATTTTATATCAGCGGTATTTTTATGCCGTGGATCATTGTAGCGCATCCTAATAAGTAAGTTATGTCTATGTGCATGATCGTTTTCAAGAAAAAAAAACCCTTTCCTTTGTGATTTGAGCCTCCTGTGGACTCATTTTACAATTTTCTTACATAATCCGGATTAAGGGCATTTTGGGGTTTTCCTTTAGGAAATAAACTCCGGCCTTGACATGGTCATTTAGAAAACATGATTTTATGTGGGGTTTCTTCTTTGTATTTTTCCAGAAAATGTTGTCTTGGTGCCAGAAATCCCGTCTAAAGTTCAGTTTTCTGTTATGCTTGTAGCAGCCTTTTAACCCTCTTGCCCTTTTCTGATGTAGGGGCATTCTGGGTATTTTACAGTATATTTTTTTTCGTTTTCTTCCATGTTTCTGAGTAGAAAACATAATTTTAAGAGGGGTTTCTTCTTTGGGTTTTTTTTTTTTAAAAAAAAAAAATCGTTTTGATGCAGAAAACAACTCACAGATTTGGAAAATCTAGTGCATTTTAGGTTTTTACAAAAAAAGTTCTGATAAGGGGCATTTTGGGTATTTCACTTGAAAAATAAAAACTTCTCTTGACAAGGTCATGTAGAAAACATGATTTTGGAGAGGTTTCTTCACAACTTTTTTTCCAAAAAATGTCGTTTAGGCCTTCAAAACCCCATTTGAATTTCAAAAAATTGTGCAGGGCCTGCACAGATTTGAAACCCAGAAAGTTGTTTTTTTTAAAACTTTGACGTTTCATATCTTCTTCGTCCCGACTCCAAATTAAGTGATTTTTGAGTCTAAGTTTATTAATTTTTGCTTTTATATCTAACGGTATGCACGGTTACATCCAATTCTATCTGAAAAGACCATTTTACCGCTTGTCAAGTACCCTTGCCACACTGATTTGAAACCCAAAAGTTAGTTTTTTTGAAACTTTGACGATTCATATCTTCTTCATCCGGACTCCGAATCAAGTGATTCTTAAGTCTAGATTTATTAATTTTTCCTTGTCTATCTAGTGGTATGCGAAGTTGCATCTAGTTTTGTCTAAAAAGACCATTTTATCCCTTTTCAAGTACCCTTGTTGCACTAATTTGAAACCCAAAAGTTTGATTTTATGAAACTTTGAAGTTTCATATCTTCTTCATCCGGACTTCAAATCAAGTGATTCTTGAGTCTAAATTTATCAAAATTTCCTTATTTATCTAATGGTATGCTCAGTTACATTCATTTTTGTTTGGAAAGACCATTTTACCCCTAGTTAAGTACCCTTCCCATTTTATAAATCTTAGCTTCCGCATTTAATTCTTTTGAGTTCCGTGACTTAATGGAAGGTCACATTGGCATCTTAGGGATGTTGTATATCCCTAGAGACCTTGTTTCTATTTTTTCTTGCATCTAGTTTTATTTAGAAAGACCATTTTACCCCTGGTCAAGTACCCTTCCCATTTTATAAATCTTAGGGCCGTTTGGCATGCATTTTGCTTTTGGCTAAAATACAAATAGTGTTTTTACTATTGGAGTGTTTTGGTAAAAATTGAAAACACATTTCGGAACGATGTTTTGTTGTGGAGTCGGAAACAGAAACATGAAAAACATGTTTGGTAAGTCATGCGTTTCAAGAATTTTGAAAACAAAACATGTTTGGTAACTCTAACTGTTGTTAAAAATAAAAAAATAAAAAAAAATAAAAACAGAAACAATAAACGTGTTTGGTTATCATTGTTTTAAATTTATTTTTATAAATTTTAAATATATTTATAAATTTATTTCTATATAAATAGTCTATATATTTTTAATAAATATATTGAAATTTGAACACACAAACATATATATATATATATATATATATATATATATATATATATATATAACCAAAGTGTAATTACAGAAGCAACTGCTTCAGCGAGACCAATGCTTTGGCATCAACTTGAGTCTTGATGACATGTAGAGTTCTATCTTTTTATTGTGTTCTTATGATCTAGATATTAAGATCACCTTTTTCATTTCTAATCCATCTATTTAGAGTCAAACTTCACAAAACATCTATCAAGGAGTCATAACATAAATATATATATATAAAAAGCACCCTACTATAATGGAAGCTTGCAAAAAAGCTTCTCAAATCATCTCATTCTTCTGTATTAGGAAAAATAAGAAAGAAATTAAGAACAAATTAAACAGTAGATTAAATTAAACATGAGATATAATTCAAAGTTCAAACACAATTACTTCATTGTTTACAAATTTTAACAATAGGATTCAAAAACGAAGAAAAAGATGCTTAACAAATAAAAAGATGTTTCCTTATGTTTTCCTTACAGGAGACATACTTCAAAAAACATAAATTTCACTTCCATGGAACAAGCTTCAGTAGTAGGACACGTCATCTTCATAATAGCACACATCACCTTCTAGAGAGTATCAACACACTTCACATCTGTAATGGTAGAATTTAAGTTAAAAAATATTAACAATAGTATTAGCCAATAATAGTAAAAGCAAAATAGTAACAGCAAAAATGATATATATTACAGATATATATTACAAGCCTACAATGAAGATGATGCAGAAGTCAAAGACTATATAACAACAAATATATTACATATAAAAGAAAAAACGTACCATCAGTTTCAGGAAGATCAAGAGTGCCCAAGAGAATCCCAGATTCGATCAGCAATAGTATTACACAACTGATCCATTTCTCGAAGCTGAGCCGGAGGCACATGCTCAACAATCTCATCGTCTTTACCATTACTTTGAGGAGGATCGTCACCATCAAATAAATCATCAGACTGATATTGATTTCTAATGAAGTTATGTAATGTGCAACAAGCCATTACAATCAATACTTGTGTTGACAACTTATAAGGAGGCATTGCCTTCAAAATAGCAAATCTCATCTTCAACAACCCAAAGCATCGTTCAATTGTATTTCTCAAAGATGATACCTATGATTGAACATTTCCACCTGACCACGGGGTGGTCTACTCCTACGGTATTCCAGAAAGTGGTAAGTATGACCACGAAATGGGGCCAAATAACCAAGCTTATTGGCATACCCTGAGTCTACCAAATAATACTTACCTACCATGTTTAGAATACATAAAGATATATACACTGTGATAAACTAACCATACATTAAGTGAATTTGTAAGATAATAATACCTGGTGGTGGAGCTAGAAAGTTCATTGCCTCATTCTCAATACACTCTTTTAGAATTTTGGAATCATTAGCAGAGCCTTCCCACCCAGCTAACACATATGTGAATCTCATGTCAAAGTCAGATACGGCCATTACATTTTGTATGGTATAACCCTTTCTACCACGAAATGGAAGTTGTGTAGCTACTGGCAGAGTTGCAGGAATGTGGGTTCTATCTATAGCTCCCACGCAATTCTTGAAGTAAGGATAAAACCTAGAAGACCATCTAATCTTATTCGGAATCACAGAAAAATTAGGAGGGGCAATGATATGAGTGCCCAACTGACATACTACATACAACACAACATGGAAGTGTCTGGAAATGGTTTCAGTGGAGTGTTGAAATCTCTCTACTACAACACGATTCCTTTGATTATGAGAAAAAGTAAGCAAAAAGATTGCCACTTGTTCATATACAGTTAAAAATTTAGAATCCTTCAGCCCTATACCTTTCAGGGTAGTACACAATGTTCTGAAAACTTTAGGGTACATCCTAAAATTTTCGTAACATCTTTCTCTATGGCCGTTTAGAATTTCCATAACATACGTTTCCCCTTGTAAAATTGAATCCCTACAACGGCTCTTTTGATAGAAGTTCTGTTCTTTTAAAAGAGCAGCAAATATTAAGACACTCTCATTGTCCTCCTCATTGTCATATAATTGAATTATTCTTCTTATATTATTCCACATATCCATTGCCCTATTTAAAGATTTAATACAAAAAAAACATTTAAGTTAATAAGTAAATCAATTAAATTATAAACAAAACATTTAAATAATAAAACAAACATTTAAATAATAAACAAAGGCATTTGAGTAGTAACAAGCATCTAAGAAATTAAAGTATTTAAGTTATTACAGTCATCCAAATGTGAGATAATAAAAGTATTTAAGTTGTTACAGTCATCCAAATGTGAGATAGTAATAAGTTAAACAATGACACAAAACACAATCATCGATAAAGAAAAACTCAAACATTCAATGCCCAACCAATTCTCATCTCCTTGGGTGCCGAAAGAAAAAATTTCTGCCACTTCTCATAATCATGTAACAACTTTGATACCTTAGTGAATTAGGTCATCTCAATTCCAGGTATTTTTTGTAAAAGGAGCATGCAGGTGTCAAGCATTTCATCATCTCTATCCTTTTTAGAGGGAGAGAGAACTTTATCATCTCCTTTCTGATGAGCACTGAAAAGTACACTTTTAAACCCCTTAAGCTTGAGTGTTCTAGGACCTTTATCTATCTTATTTTCCCATTTTAGTACTTATTTGTGTTTTTGTCTATTTCAGGTCAATAATGTTAAAATGGGCTAAAAATGGTTTCGTAAGGCTTTTTTTGGAGTCAATCTAAGTCTTAGTAAGGATCCGGAGCAAAAGGAAGCTGATTTGGAGCAAAATGAGGCTAATGCTGAAAAACTGCCAAGTTGGATATATCCAACTTTTTCTGAGATCGATCGCAGAAAGTGAGATCAATCAAAGTTGGATCGATCGAAAATCAAAGTTAGACCGATCGAACTTTTTCTCTGATCGATCGAACTTTTGCTGGCAGCGAGCTGTCTTATTCCCATGCGCGTCCAAAAGTCCACCTACCACATAGTACGGGATTAGATATTTTTGGAGCTATATTCCTGACTTAGTGACTAAGAAAATGACCTTCTATATAAAGGGAAGTGACCCATTTTGTAAAGAAGTTTTTTATCTTTTTTATTTTTTACATTGTATTTTTTATTTCTCTCTCTAACAAAGTTAGAGATTAGGGTTAGAAGAAAAGAGGAAAGTGGAGGCACATCTCAAGATCCATCTCTAGACCGCTCTCTCTCTCCATCTCTAGAGCTTCAAAGAAGAAGAAGAAGAAGATGGAGCTATATTTGGAGCTTGATTCCATGACCACATCCACCTCCTCCATGATTGGCTAGATCTATACCTAGGGCTTGGATGAGCCCTAAGTCTTGTGTAATCTAAACCCTTGTATTTCTATTTTTGGGGATTTATATATATATTGTTGTGATTAGTGTTCTAGCCTTGTGATTGTTGATTTAATTCTTCTTTATGATTCTCTATTTTAATTACATGTTGTCTTATGTGTGATTATTTGGGGAATTGATCTCTACACTAGATTCTCTATGTTGGTTGCATGTCTATAAGTGATTAATTAAGGATTTAGTGATGGCTAAGCATGGGTTTTCATTGAATGGGTTTGTCAATTAATTTGATGGTTTATACTTATGCTTGATGGGTTGTTCTACAATTTAATTCATGCTTGTAGGTAGGTAGACAATCTATTTTTGCTTAGATATTCCATGGCTTATTATTGCAAATTCCATGATTCTCTAGATTGATGTGTGCTACAATTGTTACTAGTTAGATGGGTCATGCTTAAAATTGATGGGTTCTGCTACACTTTGTTTAGGTAGACAATTCATTCTTAAATTAGATGGTCCATGCTTAATATTACAATTAACAATGTATTCCCCATTAATGGAAAGCAATTGATTAATTACACAAGCTTAGTGGTGATTCCAACACCCTAAGTCCTCTCTTCATATCTCTTAAATCCCTATCTCTAATTAGTTTTATTTCACTTTCATTTTAATTAATTGTTTTCTAGTTTAATCAACCAATCTCTATCTTTTGCAATCTTATGATACGCTAGAGTTAAAGTAAAAGTCCAACACGTATAATCCCTTGGGACGATCCTTACTCACTCTTACTACTTTAGTAGGAGTGTTGGTAGTGATTTTTATAAATTTAAACTTGACCCAAAAGGCTTTTCTTGAACCGCACATTCACTACATTATTTTGGCGTATATCAAGCGGCCTCGTCACTTTCTCACATGAAGATACACGAGTAGAAGTATAAGATGTTTTAGCTGCTTTCTCTATTGTAGCTTTAATTCTCTCAATTCTCCTCGCAGAATTCTCATTCATGTTTGACAAGAGTACAGCTATACCATGAGATAAACCATCTCTTTTGGCTTTCTTACCTTTACGTAAAGGTGGGGGACTGACCTCACAACCCTCTTCCTCATCATCGTCATTATTGGGAGTAAACAAAATGATTACGGGGGGTGCTATAGTAGACGGGTGGGCATGCATCCCTATTGCATATATGTCCCTAAATATAGTCGACATCGATCTTGTCAAAATGCTTACATCCATGCCTTTTAAACTTATTTGCATTCGTAACAACCTACAAATTTTGCTACAATATTAACCTCATAACCAATAATATATGAGATTTTATTATTTATTTAGGACTAATAATAAAATTACTAACCTTGCACAACCTGTCCCATCTCTCTTCCTCAATTATAACCATGCCCGTCTCATGGTTATATCCCACGCCAATCTCCGATAATAATTTCTTAAACTCGAAATAAATTTTTCTCAAAGCATTAAACTTATTCCGAAGTTGGGTTAAACCAAATTTTCTCCCTATTTGAACCTTCATTTCTTTTCCGAAATTATTCCAACCACTTTTACTATATGTTGTGCCATTACGATTACCAGCCTTAACTTCTTCCATCATAATATTCACAAATTTTTCAATGAGTAACTCATCCCATAACAATTTTCCGTCCTTCATAACTTCGGCCACTTCTCCTTCAATTGTGAGATAATCACCACATTGTTCCACATTCTCAATATTTATATCCATCTAACATATTAATAACAACACTATAATTAATAACAACAAAAATGATATATATAGCCCACTTATATTTGAGGAGTTTGTTATAATTAAATAATCAGTTTCTTTATTTCAATAGGCTCCATTAAATAAAGACCAGAATGCTCAACAATAGTGGAGGTAACAAGATAAAAGTATTACTTGAATTATTACCGGATAAAAGTATTCTCGGAATGCGTCGAGTCCCTTCCTTGCTATGTAGCTGAAGCGATGAATGTCAAGGTCAACCTTAAAGTAATTGGGTCCCTGTATCAAACAAGAAAGCAAAAAGAAAAAACAAAAAGAAAATATTAAAATCAAATAATAACATATCCCTCAAAATGTCTATTATCTACCTAGCATGAACTTATGGTTCCTCAACCTCAGCAATGAGCTTGCAAGAGAGAGCACCAAATTTTACAAGTTCCATGCAATAATTCAGATTACTAAATAGTTCATCATTGGGATATGAACATGTAAAAGCAAAATTATAGAAGATTTGTTTAAATCATGAAAATCAGATGAGGGAGACATAAAATTTAACATTGGTATAATAGATGCACAATATGCCAAAGTCAAAACAAGTGACCTCAGTAAATAAATTTAGTAGAAATTATATAACAAAATAACCATTTTTAAATTAATATTATTACCATAAGTTTCTCCAAACAATGAATCATGCCAAGTGATTTACCTAGCAGGTTAGTGTCTGATTGACCATTTTCCCGAACCCAGCATGATCAAGACAAGTTAATTAGCTCAAATTCTTTTGTTTAGTTTACCAAGGGGGCATCTATTTTGATACACCAGAAATCATTCCTAGATGGTATATTCATGTTCATTGTATCATTTGGTCGTCATTAGAAAAACTTATTTTAAGTGTACATCATAGTAGCTAAGGCTTTTTTCATTGGAAAAGTCTCTCAACTATGTCATGTTCAGTGTTAGTACGGAATAATTTATTCCGTGTATAACTGAATAGAATCACAGAAGGTTTCACCTCTTTCCACTAGAATGAAGGAGAAGGAAACACTCTACTATGTCAATTTTTCCAGGAGATTTTCTATTACACAATCAAATAAATTTTCCTCAGTTTTTCTTAGTAACCAATGAAAAAAAAGTTTGAAACCACAAATCCACAAAATAATAATGCAGCAACTAACCGAAAGCATTCATCATTTATTATTCTGAATGTTCTAATCAACACATTACCAAAATTGTGCAATTTCTTCCATTAATTTTTCCCAAAACAAATTAAAAATAAAATTAAACCACATGCTTCTCAATAATCACAAGAGCAATTAATTTAATGGATCAAAACTGAAGTTTAATCTACAAATATCAATACAAATGCAAAGAAATTTGATTAAAGAAAAACTAATATGGGTAAACTTATAACAAGAAATGAACAAGAAATTGTTTCATGTGTACATGTCACATAAACAGGAACAATAAAATAAGGCAACAACCAAATAAACTCTAATTTTAAGAACGTTAAACTTCTTATCTTAGGTTTTCTCATTTATTGGAACACTAGCCAACAAGAACCTCCCCTTTAACAAAACCCTAATTTTATATCACAAAAAGACAAAAACTATAAAATTCTATGTTCATTTCTCATCTGTTTTCTAAGCAACCGAACAGTGGAAAATGCCAGAGACCCCCTAATTTTATATCTCAGAAATACAAAACTATAAAATTTTATGTTCCTTCCTTTCTCCTCTGTTTTCTAAGTAACCAAACATTAGAAAATGCAAGAAACCCCCTAATTTTATATCACAAACAGTAAAAACTAACATTTTATGCTCCTTCCTTTCTCCTCTATTTACTAAGCAACGAAACAGTGAAAAATGCAAGAAACCCATGTCAAACTTCATGCCAAGCTAAACAAATGCAAATAAAGATTTCTTAAGAACACCAAATCCACATAAACATAATAAAGAACTTATAGTTTCCTCTGTTTTTCATCAACCAAACAGAGGGAAAATGCAAGAAACCCACCCAGACATCAAACCTTACAGTTGCAACACAATTATGAGAGTGAAATATCTTTTTTTTCCTTCCAAAAAAATAGCAAATAATGGTTCAATAGAAGTTCTTGGAGAAGATGTTTGCACACAATCAGAGAAACCCACAAAAAAAGGAAGACGAATACAGAATTGGTAGATATTAAAATATGTATTTTGGATTTAAAAGAACTAGAAACTATTCGATTTTCAAAAACCCTCAAGAACACAAATAAATCCAGAAAAGCATCGCTTTTTAACGACTTCGTGCTTGACCCCTATTTCTCTGTCTCTGTCTCTGTATACTTTCATCTATTTTGCGCTGTCCCTCTCAGTAGTAGTTGCAGATTTGGAAGTATTAAAAGTAAAGCAACATCAAAGGAAACAACAAAGGAAAGGTCTTTAAACATGAGAGAAATAGAAGAAAGAGTACTCACAGTCGCGATTCCTTTTCGTCACCTCCCAAATCGCCTCCCAAATCGCCAGAGTCTAGGGTTTCAGAGGAGAGAGAAAATATCGGGCCGAATGTTGCAAATGCGTTTTAAAGTTACTTCCTTCGCTACAATGTTAAACCCAACTTACTTCATCCGCTACAGTGCTTTTTATTGGGCTACAGTTTTGAAACAACAAAAAACACCATTTTGGTGTTTCACTTTTGGGCCCAAATTTAGTACTATTTAAAACAAAACAATAGCTACCAAACATGTTTTTGGGCCTGAAATGAAGCCCTACAACAAAAACACCAAAGTAAAACAGATAACAAACAGGCCCTTATCTTCCGCATTTGATTCTTTTGAGTTCCGTGACTTAATGGAAGGTCACCTTGGCATCTTAAGGATGTCGTATATCCCTAGGGACCTTGTTTCTATTTTTACTTTCACATTTTGGATCCATTTCGGGTCATCTTACAGGTCATCACAGGACGCACTGGCTTGAAAACCAAGGCCGTCACACTTAACATCTCCCAAAATGGCTAAATAGTAACTCTCCCAACCACTTTGTAAACACGACTCATTCGAACCATAAGGTGTACTATTAAGTACCCAATCCCCAAAACATAACTCAGAAATCAAATCATCAAACCATTAATCTTCATCGGACTCATAGTCCTGCCTAAAGTACCTCGTTATCCGTAACAAACTATTTTAATCCACAAAACACTATCGCCTGCAAATGAAAACCTCCTTCTAACTAAATCCACACTGTCACACTTACATGATGCACAACACCATAGTTTCATCATCACTAACCACTCAAAACAATCATAAACCTTTGACCTGACATCGTGTTCAAGAGGGATTAATTCAAGAGAAATGGTTGGCCAGGCCATCCTCGTCATCAATCCGGTTCCAACACCAATGTAATCCTCGTCCTCAGGTCCAAACCTCAAATACGGTCTCACACAAGCACAAGGCAACCACGAAATCCACTCACTATCAATCCATCACTCTACGTAACCTTAACAACTATATAGTCACATATATGCTCTAAAGATCCTAATCATGCCTTAATCACACAACCCATAACAAGCTAAAAGCAACACGGTATCAAATACCACAATCATCGACCAGCATAAAAGCTCTCTAATCTTCTCATAACACCCATACCAGGGAAACAACTCCATAATATCATTCGATTCAATTCTTACCTTGTCAAAACGCACAATACGACTATCTCATGCCTGAAATCTCAAAACCAAAATCAAGCATCCCATTATTCCTCGACGGAATCCCACATTCACTTTCTCTAATCACATAGTTCTAAAATGATATCGACACTTGTCCTCAAGACACTACTCGAATCAAACGTCTATAAAAACATCCAAGTACATAACTCACATCACATCACCTAATCATCCTCAAATTAGAGTTCACCACACATCCCCTAGTCATCAACGCTAGTACTAGATACTGGAAACACACAATCTCTATTCAGCAACTCATGCCTCACACAGAACCGGTCAAAACCACTCTTAGAACGAGCACTACTAAAACCAAAGACCCTACCTCCCTCTGTAGGAGTGAGTCAACTAATTCAACCAAACCATTATCGATAAAATCTAACAGCATAACGAACCACACATGGGTTCGCCCATCCGCAGACACGCACAACTCCTAAGTGGAGAACAAGACTCACGACAAACGATGTCCTTGTTAGAACCAGAACAAATGGAAGAGAAACAAACCCCGCACTCATAAGAGACTGACAATCTGAATCCAGATGTACCTTGATAAGCACTGAAAAGTGCACATATAAACCCCCTTAAGCTTGAATGTTCTATAACCTTATTCTATCTTATTTTCCCGTTTTAGTCTCATTTTCATGTTATTTTCTTTTTCAGGCACTTATCTCCAAAATAAGTTAATTTAACTAAATTAGAACATTTAAAGAAGTAATCTCAAGCTTAGTGGAAGAAAGGACCAAAGTGGAAACAAAGTGGTGAAGAGAAGCCTTCTCCGATCGATTGAACCAATCTCTGATCGATCATACTATGATCGTTCCAACCATGCCATGATGGATCGAGCCTTTTGTCCTTATCTTCAGGAAATTTCCCTTTCGATTGATCTAACCTTTCCTTCGATCGATCGAACCCTTTTGATCTTATCCTCACTTACCACTTTTGTCCTTTTTTTAAAAATATCCCAAAAATATCTCAGCCTTGTCATTATCCAAAGTGCGCCGCTATAGCTCGATCAGTCGAAGCAACCTTGTGATTGATCAAACTGCCTCAAGTGCATGAAAAACAGAGTTCCAACCAATTTAAAGGTGTGGTCGTGGTGAAATCATTTGGAGGTCCTACTACACGAGATCTGACCATTGGGCATGACATTTGAGCTACCAATATAAGGATTTTGGCTATTTTTGAGTAAAGAGGTTGATTAGGTTTTGGCAAGAGGCTAGAGATTAGAGAGAGAAACACACCATTTGGGGAAAATTCTTGCACTCATCTAGGGTTTCTACTAAGAACTTAAGAAGAAGAGGATGATTCTACCATGGAGATAGCCCTTGAGGGTTGGAAGACAACATCAATGAGTAGCTAAACCATTCTCTTGGGGCTGGAGATATCCCTAAGCATGCCTCCTAGACTTTGATGATTTGTAATTAATGGAGAATTGTGTTATAATTTTTGTCTTGACATCTTATAGATATATATGAATCTTGTTTCTACAATGATTTGTATAGTTTATTACTTCCAATTGATCATTTAATTCTATCCATATGTCTATATATGCTAGAATGAATGTTCATGTGTTTATCTCTAGATTTTGTGACATTAATGCTTATATATAACTGTTGATATTATGAATCTAGTGATGGTCAAGGCATAGTCCTTAAATAGATACTCTTGTGGTTTGTTTGATGGTTCATACTTATTTCTTGATGGATTGTTCCACCTCCTTAGTTTAATTAGTTTAATTTTCAT